TCTTTACTCAAAACTCCAGCAGCATAGTAACATAAACAACCAATCAGAAAAAAGATATAATGCCCATAAAAGGCCCTGTCTATGACATCACTTCCTCTTTCTTTGAAGCAAAACAATAAATAGCAATAGGAGACATAATCATATTACGTCAACAGTTCAACAACATATTAGAATATCCAACTCCACTAGTTCCGCGATGCAGAGGTATAGAAGGTGAATCTTTGTCACGATGAGAAGACGTTCACGCTGCAAGAAAAAGGTGAAAGGTATCTGGCGTGATAACTTGTCCGCATACAATAAGCATTAAGCATCTGACATACCAGCGAACATTAGAGTGTGAAACATATCAATATATATTTATTCTAACGCAATGATATTTAAGAATCTATAAACACAACATAATGCAAGGTTCACGTCCAATATTCAGCCAATACAAGACCCACAAGATACAGGTCTAAGTAGCAAACATACAAACCATACGTACTTACCTTCCTGAACATAAAGGACATATTCTGTTCAATACGAGGAACATGGGAGGGATTCTACAGGGTGGGAAATATTCGCCTCCTGTCATTACTAAAATTAAGATTATTAGTACACTAAAGCTAGTATAATCTTCAATTTTACCACATGACAGGAGGCTTCATATTTGCATTTTTAAAGCTTTGAATTGACCAATGTGAAGGAAGCATGAGATGTTTGCCAAAAATAGAACGTTCTAAACGTACTCTCTCGCGCTCAGTCCGCGCAGCGTATAATGTCGGCTAGGGAAGCGTCGGCCGAAAAGGTTTGTGAGGCCGCTGCTCCCCTGACCGAGTGGGCTCCGAAACAAGGTTCGACGCTAAAGACAAAACCCCGCGGACCCATCTGGCCAGTGTTGCGGTAGACAGCGGTCCATGAGGGTTTACGTAAGAAGTCAGAAGGTGATCCGTCGAGTGAGGTCGAAGGGGGTAGAGATATTGGTGTACCCCATTAGCGTTCTGACCACGCATAGTGTGGCGTCTGACACAAAGCATGGGTATGACACTGAAGACGAATCAGACTTAGTTTGTCTCGACATGGTAAAGGTAACCCCGTCTGGTGTGAGAGAGAAACCATCCATATCGCAAGCCCTAACGTCCGCCACCGTCTAAATGAGGCGAGGCATAATAAGAAGGCTAGTTTGGCTGAAAGTTGCTTCAGTGACCAACAAGGATTGTCCGGCCATTCCCTAAGGAATCTCGGCACCACATCCACCTGCCAGAGGCGTGAATATTTGGGTGCCGGGATCTCGACAATTCGGCACCCCGCAGTAGTCGACAAACCAGTGTATCTTGACCTACTGGTCTGCCCTGTACCGGAACGTGCGCCGCCCACATGGCGGATCTGATCATGTTGAGGGATCGATATGACCGACCCAACGAGACCAGGTGTGACAGATAGTTGGGGATCAGTGGGACAGATGCGGTAAAGGGATCGGAATCCCTTTCCACACACCAATCACTCCAGGCCGACCAGGCAGAAATATAGCCTTTCCTGGTGCCGGGAGCCTATGAGTCCCATAGGAGGTCTTAGTTGATGCAATAGGTCGTGATCTGACCAGGAGCCCCTGAAGCCGTCCAGGCAACTAGTGTCAGTTGTCCTTCCATGACAAGGGAGTGGGCTCCCCCTCGAGGTCCCGTCAGAAGCAGAGGGAAGGTAGGGAGTAGTAGAGGGTCTTCGCGAGACATCTCCAGGCGATCCGGGAAATCACGGTTGGCCCTGCCCGAGGGGTGTCATGAGCAGGAGCGATATCTTGTGAGTGTGTGTGTGTATTGAAGCACCTTTGCTATTGTGGAGAAACGGCTGGGTCACGTTTGCAGGGGTTCATCCATCGCCCCGTATCCGAAGGAAGAGTCAAAGATCGTTTTGCCAATCCAAGTTTGTATGTGAAGTAATCACCATCGAAATTCCATCCTCACTTCCGCCGACAGTGGGATCCAGTGGTCATATGAGTGAGCGGTGCGTACGTATCTCACCATCAGTCGTAGTGGGCCAGGGAATAACGCTTGTATGGAGGAGGAGAGGAGGAGAGGAGGAGAGGAATCCCACAATCCGACAGTTATCCTTATAGAGGCGCTCTTTGCCGTAGACTGACGCGGAACATAGTTCTCCAAGCCGATGTCGAAACTGAGGAACTGGCCCGATTCAGATGGAGAAGCGATCTTTGTCTGTGTACAACAAAAAATCCATGGAGTCCCGAAAGTGAACGACAAATTTGTCTGCAAATGTAGCCTGGATTCGTAAAGAATCAGCAAGTCTTCCAGGTATACGAGGCATCGCACGCCCAAATTTATGGATGTGTGCCCTCACTGGTTACAGTAGGTTCGCGAGCACCACGGAGTCGTAAACTGCCGTGTTTGTCCTCACCATCGGGATCGGAGGAAAACTTCGGCAGTCCAGGGCAACGGGTACCGACAAGCGTGCGTCCTTGAGGTCTAGATGTGTAAACCAGTCGTTATCGCCTAGGAGGTCTTGTAGAAGACGAATTTCCTCCATCTTGCAGCATTTTTATACCATGTAGGAGTTCCATTGATGTAGTCTCCTGGCTTCTTCTTGACCAGGAAAAATTTGTTGGGGAAGCCTTCCCCTCCGTTGCGTGTTGAATTGCGCACCTCCTGAAGAGGGTGCAGATTTTCTTGTCCACGAGGCGTTCCTGTTCCGCCAGCGTGCGTAATGGAGGTGAAGGGGCGACCTGCACGGCTGTGATAAAACTCTATGACATAACCTTGTACTGTCTGGAGAACCCAGGTGACTTTGGTAGTCGTCTCCCAATTCTGTAAAACAGAGACAGGTTGCCGGTCATAATATTGGAAACAGTTAGTTATGTAGGTTGACACACTAGTAGATGAAGCGGATGGGTTCAGACTTGTTTTAGCGAGGTCTGGGTTTAGTGTGGTGAATAAATTCACGTGTTTTTTGAGTACTGCAATGAACACTACGTCGAATAGTAGGCCTTGTGCTTTTGGGCCAAATACTTGTCGTTCCTAGGTCCAATAGTGTGTTGTCGATGCGGCCCAGTACAGATTTGCGTCTGTCGGCGCATAGTGCGTCATTTACGTTGCCCAGGAGGCATATCGAGCATTGAGACCATTCTTTGGAGGTGGTAGGGTTGAGTTGTGCACCCTGGGGTAACTCGGTCTTGAGGCGTGCGCATCCTTCCATCCCCCGAGGGTTGCGCAGCCAATAGTGTTCGTCCAGGAACGTTCCGTCTTCGGCTACTCTGGTTTAGTGCCGCTACAGTTATCTCTGCCTCAGCCGCCGTCACAGAGTAAGGTTTCCCTAACGTACTTCGAGGAAGTGTGGGGAAGGTCTTGCCGTTCCATTTCCTCAGGCGGTGAGCTGTCTTCGTGTCGCTCATCTACCATGTCCAAAGTACGTGGTGGGTAATAGTCTTTTTTGTCGGAAGATTGTGGCGGACGGGGTTTGGATTCCCGGTGTTCCGCCTATTTGGTCTGTTCGATGGGCATCTTGCCCTTGACCTTAGTGGCAGGGGGGCTGGAGCCCTTCCCTTGCCGTTTTGACTTGAAGGCTTGTGGGCCTGAGGTCTCCATCAAGCGGTGTGGGGTAGAGTTCATAACAGAACCTTCTCCACTGAGGCCGTTACTGTGGCGTTTATCATTGTCTCGAAATCTTGGGAACGTTGAGAGTGTCCACCATGACTCGTTCCCGTCCTGTTGGGAGATAGTGTGGGGGTCAGCACGTAGGGGTGTTAGACTCCTGGTAGAACTGGGGATCACCCAGGTAAAAAGAGGGGTCACCTCTATTAGTTTAATCTGGCTACTGAGAGCCGTGGTGCAGGCGCGACTGCCTGGTAGTGGTGTCGGTCTGGCTAGCCGGGTTCACCACAAATGTACGCCAGAGCTGTATGCAGGGTTTTAACTACACAGGCTTACTATATAGGTGCATGGGGCCTGTCTCCATAAGGTCTGCAGCCGCAGGACCCATGTCTATTAGGCTGGGTTCATCCCAGGTGGTGTGCCATGGTAACCCAGAGGACACCCATATTATACTTATTGGCACCTTACAAGCATTGCATGCATATCTGGGAGTCATCCCAGGTGGTGTGTCATGAAAAATTACCCAGAGGACACCCACGTTCCATATGTACACTAGGCACAGAAAATATACATATATGTATCCCTGTGAAGGTTACACCGCAATACACTCAATTTTCTTAGTGATCCTGCCATCAAATCGCATCCGGCATGGTACTGTTGCTTTAATGTAAAACTGACAGGCAGTGTTTAACCCCTTAAAGACACATGAGATGTGCGACATGTCATGATTCCCTTTTATTCCAAAGTTAAACATCCATAGTTAAGGGTTAAACATCCATATATGTCTGTAGTAATCAGTGGTAAAGTTGAGGCGTAGGCCTCCATGCATATGATCGGGGTTCACCCGGGTGGTGTGCCATGGTAACCCAGAGGACACCCACATCAAAGGTAATGGTCTGTCAGTGACCTTGCATGCATATCTGGGGGGTCACCCCAGGTGGTGTGCCATGGTAACCCAGAGGACACCCACATCAAAGGTAATGGTCTGTCAGTGACCTTGCATGCATATCTGGGGGGTCACCCCAGGTGGTGTGCCATGGTAACCCAGAGGACACCCACATCAAAGGTAATGGTCTGTCAGTGACCTTGCATGCATATCTGGGGGGTCACCCCAGGTGGTGTGCCATGAAAAAATACCCAGAGGACACCCACATAAATTTGCACCGTCAGGTACAGTAATATAATATGACCCTCTGTAGGGTACAATAATATAATATAATATGCCCTTTGTAGGGTACAGTAACATAATATGCCCTTCGTAGAGTACAGTGATATAGTTGATCTTGATATAGGTACAGTATATGTTTTGTATAACGACTGTGATATTGTATGGCTTCACAATAATACATAGATTGTGTGCCTGCTCATGAGAATAAAAAATAATAATTGTATATAATTTTTTGCCAGTATGCCGTCTGATCCTGAGGAGATTATAACCATGTATAGTATAACCCTAATTGGGGTATAGTAGCTGATATGACCCTAAGCAGGGCCTAGAGACATAAAGGTCTGAAGCTGGCAAAAAAGGGGGGAATGTTTGTCTCTTTAATGCATGCATTTATAATAGATAGGCAGCACAGCAGGCAGGCACTGGGCAAATATATATATAGAAAGGCAAAAATCCACTGTAACCTAATACCCTCCCTTAGTACATACTAGGGAGGGTATAAAGATGTGGAGCCCAGCGGTCGGGTGAGTTACCGATCCGCCGGGCAAGCGGGGAAGGCGGCCGTCCGGTATCTCGCGAGCCGCGAGATCCAAGATGGCCGCTGCCCGCGTGTGAAGTAGCGCCGCGATCGACCGCTCGGCGCCGGAATGACGAGGGAACGCAGTTCCCAGTCCCCCTCCACCCGTCCCCTTGCCGGCCCCACAAAAGGAAAAACGTTAGCCGGCCCGCGGCGCGCGGCACTGACAGCCGTTGCTCGCGGGTACCGGTAGTGAAAAGCAATAGGGGCCCAAAAGAAAACTGCAGGGACAGGGAGAAGGGAACAGCGAAAGTAAAAACTAAATAAATAAATTAATTAAATGAAATAAGTAAATGAAATAAATAAATTAGCTAAATAAATAAATTAACTTAGGTAAATAAATTAACTTAGGTAAAAATAGAACAATACCATCCAAAATACAGAGAAACAAACAATATATGTAAGCAATTGCCAGGGAGGCAAAATACTCTGACCTGATGTTGGCTGGAGCAGCAAAGAAAGAGGAAGTGATGTCATAGACAGGGCCTTTTATGGGCATTATATCTTTTTTCTGATTGGTTGTTTATGTTACTATGCTGCTGGAGTTTTGAGTAAAGAAAGATATGCAAATATGAAGCCTCCTGTCATGTGGTAAAATTATTACTATTTATATTCAATAAGCAATATCACATTGTAAATAATATACCTATCAATGATTTGGCAATTATGTCTTTTTTTCTGTTTTATAAATATTTTATCTATTTGTTTTTTCTCCTTCTTCTGGCTTATTTGAGACCTAATGGACGGTTTATTTAAAGACTTTTGTGATGGACAATATATATTCCGGTAGTGGAACGCATGTGTTGCGTCCCACGAAGAATAAGGAAGTGTAATAGCCGGATTTTATGATTCAAGGTAGTGGAACGCACGTGTTGCGTTCCACGAAGAATAAGGAAGTGAAGCAGCCGAATCACATGACTTACGCACGCACGTATGTACGTGCGTTCAAACAAGCTCTGTGTGCGTTCCACAGAGCGAATTTCCGGGTTCGGCAGATGCCGACAATTACACTATTAGGGACATATAAAAGAACAAGAGGACGCAGTGATTATTATACCAACTGAGGAAGCCAGCTATTGGCGAAACGCGTTTTGGATTCATTTTATGTTATTTTATCAATTCATTTTTAATCTCTAATTTTTTTATTGATAATTTTTAACTCAATAAATTTTGTTTATACCGTCTTTGGAGTTTCCCTTTCCATTCCTACTCAAATTCAAGGTGGAGGCCATCAGGAGGAAACAAAAAGACGGTGGTGGATCTCCCTTAGAAGATCCTGAGGCGCTTACCACTAGAGCCAAGTGTGTTATTGGCTCTACTCTTGTTAGTTACCCATCTACAATTTATTTTCATCTATTTTAAGTTTGTGACTACCGTCTGCACTAAGATCTAATTGTTTATTATTTGCAGATTATTGTAATAGCATTTTTGTCTACCCATATAATACCACTGTTTGCACAGGTAAACCAGAGCTCCACTTAAACTTTGTTCTATTAGTGTGTTTGAATTGTCAAACGCACTTCGTTTCCAGCCGAAGTGTCGAAGTTCCTGAGAAGGTAAGAGTCAGCGGTGTTCGTGCAAATGCGTAGCCCGGTATACCCGGGCTCCTGAGAGAATGTGGCCTGTTTGGCTTGTAGTATGCATGTAGCCTGTGCCCTCTCTTGGGGCTCCAGCTGTTCTCCTAACTGAACTTTGTCTATCTGCCGCGCTCCATTCGTTACTTCCCAGTAAGTCGGGAGGGGCAAAGCCTCCGTGTCTTCTCCAACTGGAGCACAGATGGCGGTCACTTCTTCAGCCCTCTCATTATACGCTTTGAGCATGCTGATGTGAAACGTTCGTCTCACATCTTCATCCTCGCAGCTGGCTATGGTGTAGGTGGTATCGCACACCTGTCCTATAACCTTATAGGGGCCCTGCCAGGCAGGAGCTTGTCAGTTCGGACCGGTCTTAGCACCATGACTTTTTGTCCGATCTGAAAGCTGCGGTACCTTGCCCGTTGGTCGTACCACACTTTCTG